CCACTCCAGAGCTTAGCTGAGGGGTGGAGATGCTATCCTGTGCTAGCACTGTGCGGAGCTTCAGCACACACAGCGCTTGGCTCCTCCTGGCCAGTGCCCCGAGCTGGAGGGTCTTGGGCTTTCCTAGGGTGCCAATCCAGCCAGAGACAGTGGGGGAAGGAAGGAGCCTGCCGGCAAGGCTGCTAGGTGAACTGAGCACTCCGACCAGGGACTGGTTCTCCACACAGTGCTGGGAGCAGGACGTGCCCCGCCGGGGGTATATGGGGGAGAAGCAGGGCTGGGGGGGGTCAGTGGGGGTGAAGGGGCAAAGTAGGGAGAGGACAGTGAGAGGGGGAACACATAAAGGGCTGATGGGTGGGCAGTAGATGCGACACGTAACCGGCCGCTGCCTAGCACCTGCCTGCACTCACTGACTGCTGCAGCTCGCAGTGTGCAGCCAGCGCTGGCCAGAAACGGGGGTTGGGGCGCTGCTGGCTGAGAACCAGCATGCAGCGGGGGCTGTGCTGATGGACCAGCAGGGGGAGTGGTCAGCCCTGCGTGCTGCAGCTTTGCCCCAACACCAGCCTTGCACACCCAGCCCTATCATTGGCCACTGGACCCTCCCACTCACCACTGGTGGGCGGGCGTCTGGCGAGCAAGGATCCAGCCAGCAGCAGGACCCACCAGCACTGATGGGAGGGGGAGGAGACAGAAAGTATGGGACAATTTGCCCATTTTTAAGAAAAAGTCAGGATTCTTGTAGGAGGGCTTAAATACAGGACTGTCCCTTTAAAAACAGGATGTCTGGTCACCCTACCCCAACTATATTAGAACACATTTTGGTCTTGCCTGATTATTACATATGTACATTCTGTGCACTGAATGGGGCGGGGTCCTGTGGAAAAAATAGTATGTGATCAAATGGGTAAAGACTGTATCAGAAAGGGCACAGAAATAAGGTTGCATGCATAACCTTAATTGTGGCATTTCCTAACTTTTGAGTGCTTGATTTTACATCTTAGACCCTGATCCTCAAGCTGATTTGTACAGGCTGACTCCTAAACCTATGCAGAGCTCCACTGATTTCAATGGGGTCTGTACAGCTGCAGGGGTCTGTCCAAGCAGAGCTCTTGGCAGGATCAGGTTCTTAATATTGTTATTTTAACATAGTAGACTTTGAACGTAATAATGTAAGAGACCTACAAATAGACTTTTATCTGTATTTGTTATGGCATAATAAAAATATGACTACTGATCATGGCTGTAAAATAACTCTATAAGGATGTATCAAAATGAGAAGTGTAGGTGGAGTTATAGAGACAGCAGTGAATCAGTCCTTCCCATTCATTTCTCACAGCTCTTGCAGCATCCATTCCAGTGCACTTTAAAGAATAATTTAACAGATTTTCTTAAGTGAGCATAATGTTCATAAAGGCACTAGGTTAGCAGTACATGAAGCTGACAGGGGCAATGACAGTGCCATTTTGCCCATAGGTGTGTCTGCTGAGAATACCACCAATACATTAGCCAATTGTGATGCAATTTTTGTGAACATCTGTCCAATAAAAACAAAACCCCAATTACCAGCTTCAAACACCCTCCAGATGGTAATGACTGTTGTTCACTATCAACTTGGGCAGGATATGTACCGGAATATTTGAATTAATAAGTTTAAAAGATATATCAATGCAAAGCCTCTTATAAATTTAACTCTTGTCCACTCTTGTATTACAGTGGGACCTTCAGTGATTATGTTAGCTCTCTGCTCCAACAAATTAGTTAGCTGGTTTGCTCCTCCACAGTGCAATCCAACACTCTCCGAAGAATCAAATTCCAAGGGAGTTACTTGGCAATAAGGGAAGAGGGGAAGGTTAAAGGGGAGAGTAAGAGAGAGACTGACAGACACTGACATGCCTGATTTTCCCCCCTTTTTAGACCTTTATCTTCTCCCATAAAGGAACTTTCCTGGATGACAGGACATAACACTCAGCATCAGCATCACCATCCCTTTCCTGCATCAGAGCCTACCACATGCAGCATCCTTTAGTTGAAGGCCAAAGACATGACCTTCAGAACGCTGCTTCCCAACAAAATTTACCAATAGAGGTTACCAAAGTAGACACACGACGCTCTTATTTTCAATTCTGAGGTATTATGTGATCTCTGATGGTTCCTCCCTCTGGTAGCTTGAGAGCCAAACACAATCAACCCCCCCCACAAAAATCCCCCAAACCCAACCCCACAAAATAGGGATTTCAATTATGAATCTTTGCATGGCATTTTATCTTACTACTAGGCCACCAAACCAGCCCTAAAATAATTTCATTAAGTTGGTTCCTTAAACCAAAAAAACAGTTAGAAATATACTGGAATGTTGTTGCATTCTGACCAATTTTCATTTTCTCATGATTAAAAGTTTTTAATAAACATTCTAACACATTTCATGACCTCAAAAACATTGGTAGTTTTCCCAAGTCCATTTTAGACTTTTGTATCTTCCCCCAAAAATAACGGAAATTAGACCTTGCGCAGGCAACAGAGTGGCTCAGAGTTGGGAAGTCTGAGTCCCCGCTCACCCTAGCTACCCGCCGTATATGCCCCATGGACTCCTCCCACCCACAGCATCTCCCAGGGCAACCAAGCAACAGAGGCTTTAGGGAGGAGTGCAAACCTCAGAGAGAGTCATTGGGAGAGGGGCTGTGCAAATTTTAAGGTCCCAGAGCAGCACTCCATCCTACATTTCAGTTGTCAGAGTGATGCTCTGGCAACACAACACCCATGAAAAAGTGGTTGGGCTATGGCCTAGGTGGCACCCACATCTGGCTATGCAAGCTATGCCTTGTGTCTGTTGGGAGAGTCAGCCACCATTGTCAAAGAGCAAGAGACTTTCACGGAAGAACTTCTCTCCAAGGTGTTTGTCAAAAGTTTGTTTATGTTAAAACATATTTAACTCAAAGAACCCTAGAAGGTTTTTAACAAAGAAAACAAAGGTTCTGTCTACAGTGTCAAAGTTGCCGCAACAGTCTCCTAACACAACTTGGTCTTGTAACACAGACAGGACTTAGTCATGCTTTAATTGTATTCAGGAAGCAAGATACTGCCCTGTAAAACATCAGACTGTAGGAGGTTTCGAAAACATGGTAAAAACATGATTTGCTGCAATTTATGTTTTGGGAGGGAACCACACTTTGGCTATTGTGGGAAACTACTCAGTTAGAACTAATGTTACCAACACAATAAACGGAATCAAAAAGGTTAAAAAAAATCCTTTATAATCTAGCAAAGAACTCTGTACAATGCTTCTCTTTACTATTCTCCATTCCTTCCCCCAACCCTTTTTGTTGACTACTATAAAATCCTATGAATGATTGTTTAATTTATTGTGGGTGCCTGGCAGAGCCGGCTCTAGGTTTTTTGCTGCCCCAAGCAAAAAAAATTTTGGCTGCCCCCCCCCACTGCACCCTCCTGCCACCCCAGCCCTGGGTCACTGGTAACTCACTCCCATGGCGGGTTATTCAGCAGGAATTTTGGATGTGCACAGAACACAGACAGGATTGGTTCCCATATGGTTACAGAACTGCATGCAGTAAAGTGGAACAATTTTCAGCTTGTGTGATTGAAGGCTATCTGGATGCATATTATAAGACTGTCCTACATAAATGAGGAAACGTTGAGGTGCCTTTATTATTCTTTTGTTCCATTCTTTGTTTCTATGGGGAATTTGCCAATGCAATATCACTGTCTTCCTTTTAAACAAATAAAACTAAAACTTAAAATAATAATAATAATTAATAATAAAAGCAATGGCTGTTGAAAATAGCAATTCCAGTCCTAATAACCACTGGGAAGCATTTCTTACTCAATTTATTCTACTTTTTCTACAGCAAGTTACAGTGGATCAGTATATTTGATTTGGGAGAAATGAAGTAACAGCTGCCCAAACTAAGCTTGAGCACTCCTGAATTTTGAGGGTGTTCAAATCTGGAAGGCAGGTGCTAGATTCCCTTTCTGAATATTAGCTAAATCTGGAAAAGAAAAGTCAATTTCTGCTTCCATGGCTCAGAAGTGTAAATCCTCCTACGTGCCTGGTACTGTATCTAAAGCTGCCCAGTCTAGTAGAGCCTCCCCCCCTTACTTTTCATTTTAAATTCTAGTGGGATCCACGTACCTGCCTTGCTAGGCTTCAGATAGAGAGGTGCAATGTCCATTTAGTCCACCCAATTCTTTCTTTGGGGGACAGCCCAGGGCTGGGGCAGCAGGAGGTGCAGGTGGGGGCCAGAGCTGGGGCGGCAGGAGGTGCGGGTGGAGGGAGAGCCCAGGGCTGGGGTGCAGGTGGGGGCCAGAGCTGGGGCAGCGGGGGGGTGGGCGGGGGAGAGTCCAGGGCTGGGGCAACACAGGGGTGCGGGGGGAGCCCAGGGCTGGGGTGGGGGGCGGCAAAAAACCTAGAGCTGGCTCTGTCCCTACCATTTACAGCAAGCTGCAGCATGAGGTTTCAGTTCCACACTCCTTCCCCCTCCCTTTCCTGTTAATTGCGGCCGAGGGAATGCTGGGAAATGTAGTTCTTTCCCTGCTCCAGGGCTGGCTCTATAAGCAGGGAGCTAACCAAGGAACTACAGCTCCCAGGGCTCCCTGTTGGTTCTCGGCTCCCATGCTGGATTCTTGCACCCCTGCAAATTTGCTGCCCCAAGCACCTGCTTGCTTTGCTGGTGCCTAGAGCCAACCCTGGTGCCTGGCCAAGTAAATTGAGATTACAAACTCATTTTTAGCCATGTTCCAAGGTGGAGGTCAGGCAGAAATGTATTTAGTCTTGACAAAAAAATCTATAATAATAATAAACATTTTAAAGAGTGTATCTATATTAGTTAACTGTCTTTTAAAGGATTCTATGATACACTTTGTTTAAAAGAAGCTATACCAAATAAAATAACATTGCCTGTATTAAGCTTCCAGCTTGGAAAAAAATATTGTATAGTTTCCAGGAGCTGACTTATTTTAGAATTGTCTAAATGCATCTCACTTACCAAGAAAAGTTTAGCTGGGACTACTTGAAGTTTTCTGGAAGTTACATCATTCTCCAAGTTTTTTGCACCAATACTTCCACCACGCAGCTCTGGGGATAGGAGTCTTCCACTCAGTATAAATGGTTTTCTGAGGAACACAGGGGCATTCCCCCCCCCCCACCACCACCTTGGTTTGCCTCTCCCCCCAGAGATTTTTCATAGGTCTATATGCTCCATTATGTTTTCCACTCCCCCTACCCTACTCTCCAGCTGCCCCTACTTTGCAGAAATAATATAACCACATATGATGTTCTACATGCTGACCCAACACCCTCCCCTGCCAGATTTCTCTGAAATGATACCTCCTGGAAGAACAGTCCTACTTCAGAAAACAAAAACAGCCCTGCACTTTCATAACACCAGCTATAGTATATCACTCATACACCCATCATGTCAACATGAGTAATCATAGTAGTTGAGCCACGTAACATGCAACCTTTCACACAGTGCTTGTTACAACATATTGCACAAGACAGCATATGGTAAACACACAGTGTTTTATATCTGACGTATAGTTGCTCTGTGATTGCCAGAAACCAAGGTTGCAAACATTGACACTTACTTCTGCAAAGCCAAGAGGTTCACATTGCGTTTGTGTTCCCTACTGTTGTGCAACAGAGAAGTGGGTGGGAAGGATCTAAATACAGAGCTTCCACCAGACAGGGTTTTATTTATGGAAAAAAGAAAACATTGCTTTCAGGATGAAAATATGTTTTAAAAAAATGCTTCAAAGGCAAGAAGTATAAGGTAACCAGTATATTTACAACAAAACTCTATCAGCTGGCAAAACAAGTAAGTACCTGACCTTGACAGCCCCTTTTCTTGCTCTGATCTATTTAATGCAAATAGCTTGATATTTTTAGAAACATCACCTTGCCATGTGTACAGAGCTGGGCAATGAGGCTAATGAAAACACACATTTTTTATGTTTCTAGGTCAATTTAAAATATAAACAGGAGGGTTTTTTTTTGTTTTTGTTTTTTTTTTTTTTTTTTTGCTAAAAGGGCTCCTGACTAAATGTATCTTAATGTCATGTCACAGAATGCTAATAATTTCTATCTAGATTTTGTCATCCTTGTGGCTCTCTCTCTCTCTATATATATATACTTTTGACAAGGTAACTTCCTACGATAAAGGAATTCTATCTTTAGTTTAAAATGTCATCAAGCTGAAACTTTGTATAGAAAATGGGTCTGATAATACAAAAGCAAAAATATATTTGTTAAATTGTCTTTCAGTTCTATAAGGAAAAATACTTGTTTCTATGACCTCCCATGGTTTTTGCCCAGTTCTAGCAAAACATGGTTTATTTTCAAATAGAATAATATTTAGCATTTATGGAGTACCTTCTGTCTGAGCAATGCATGGTGTTTCACAAATATTTAGCCTCCTAACAGCAATCTGAGGTGGTTATTACTATTCCATTATTAAATCATAGATGAGGAAACTGAGGCACACAGGGGTTAAGTCACTTGCCCAAGGTCACAAAGGAAGTATGTATCAGAGCTGGGATTAGAATTTAGGTCTAGTTCCCAGTCCTTTTTCTAACTAGAGCTGGGTGAACAATTTGCAATGAACATTTATTCAGTGAATGTACCCCCTTTATCTTCTGTTCATGAACAAGATGGGACTTCTACAAGCTTGCTCAAGTTTCATAATTGTTTGGCTACTTTTTGCAAGCAAATTTCAGCCTGTGGATTCAAACATTCACACACTGTTCACTGTGATTGTTCCCACAAGCATTTTGATATTCAATCTATGTGACTTGTCACCCCAGTCACATTATATTATTTCTGATCCCTGACTGGATAAACAAAACTTTATAATTCTGCCTGAAACTACTTTAGTTTAATGATGAAATAAAGGACTTGAAATTTACTGAATGAATATTCATATGAACAGAATTGTATGCACATGAAAGTTCACTTAAAATAAATAAGTATGCAAATATGGCTGAAGCAAATAAACTATTTTTACTAATTACCTAGCACTAGTTCTGCCCTCTAGCCAATTTTCTCTCATTTCATATATTAAAAAAGCAGTCAGTTTTGAAGATGGATTAATATTTAATGTTTTGGTGATGTCTGGAGACAGCCTGAAACAATAGCTGAGAGTGATGTCAACTGCCACATTTCATTTCAATTGAGTGTTTACTCTGAAGACTAATGAGACTATTTTAATTGTCCATTGCTGACCAAGGCATACATGAAAAAGAGTGACAATCTTATCATGAAGATATGCATGATATACTGAAAGAAGGATAGACTATGGGGGGTTCAAGTGGGCGAAACATGCGTAAGTACGACCCCCTATTTTTCCAATTCCATTCTGGGGAATGAGAGTCATGTTCAGAGACACAAAACAAAAATAGAATATTCTCTGAAATATGTTATTAAAGCCTTGAGAAGGAAAAACTTTGGTTGGTGTCTGAAGTAGTACTAAGTGTCTTGGCACTGTACTTTAATACATTAAAGATAAATAAAAGCAAATCAACATGAGATACATCAGATGAGATAATGAACAGAATTAGGAGTGTATGGCTTTGTTTTCAGCATTTTAGGAGTACAGGGCTAGATCCACAAAGTGGATTAAGGCTCATCATTGCAATGTCAAACTTTTGGTGCCCTGCTGTCCAGTGGAATCCTCATCTAGATTTGGGCACCTATACAAAGCATGGGGAGAGTTAGGCACCTAAGAGTGGGACTCACACAAGTCAGGAACCTGAGAGAGGAGCTGCCTAAACTAGACAATAGGAAATGCAGAGGAGAGTGGTGGAGTCTAAGCCCTGCCCATCAAAGGATCTTAGGCTCCTAACTTCAGACCAGAGGGAGGCACCTATCGTTGCTTGTGATTCACAGCCATGAACCCTCGCTAGGAGTCAGATACCTAAGACAGGTCAGTCCTTTTTGTGAAAAATTGTGGTGGTGCCATTGCCGCCCCTATATCGAATAACCCCATGGTTAGAACACTCAACTGGGGTATAGGAGACCCTGGTTCAAATGCCCTTTTTGCCTGATACAGAGTATGTGATACACAAGACAATCACCACCCTAGGGGCAACGTACTGAAGTTTTGCCTAGGGTGGTGATTGTCTTGTGTATCACATACTCTGTCTAGTTTAAGGAAGGTGCCCCCCGCCCATTTCCATAGTGCACAGGGCCCAAACATTCTTTAATTTGGGCCTATATGAAATGCTTAAATATTCATTGGGCCAGAGAGAGAGAGAGAGAGAGAGAGAGAGAATTACTCTATAGCCTAGTGGTTAGTGCACTTTCCTGAGAGACCCAGGTCCCAGTCCTTGAATCTACTGATTTGGGCTCTGTGGACAAAATAGGTAGGGGTACCCCTTGTTTGAGAATCCTACCAGACCATGAGCAGCTTGGTGGTGTCAGGACTTAATGGCTTTACACATGCCCAGCAGAAACGTAGGTGCCATGGGGACTTTACGAGTGGAAACTTTCAGGGGTTCTCAAACTTCATTGCACCGTGACCCCCTTCTGACAACAAAAATTACTACACAACCCCAGGGGAGGGGACAGAAGCCTTAGCCTGCCCAAGCCCCACTTCCCCGGGTGGGAGCCAAAGCCGAAGCCCAAGGGCTTTAGCCCCAGGCAAGGGGCCTGTAACCTAAGCCCCACTGCACAGGGCTGAAGTCCTTTGGCTTTGGCCCTGGACGATGGGGCTAGAGCTTCAGCCCCAGGCGGTGGGGCTCAGGCTTTGGCCCAGGGCCCCAGCAAACCTAAGTCAGACCTGGCAATCCCATTAAAATGGGGTTGCGACCCACTTTGAGATCCCAACCCACAGTTTGAGAACCACTGAATATATGGTCTGTAGAAGTCAACAGAGTTTGGCAGCAACTGAACAGGATTTTGAAGATCAAAATATTAGATTTGGGAGCCTCATTTGGCAGTTGGGTGTCTAAATCCTTTTGTGGATCTAGCCCACAGATATATAACACTGAAGTTTACTTCCAACCTTTTAAAGCATATTTTGTGTTTATAGTAAATACATTTTAAAATATGCTATTTTTTATTCTAACATGTTTTACAAATCGAGATTTATAACAGATTCAGAGACAAAATCATAATTTGACAACCTTCAGCTTTCTTATTGATTATCAGATATATCTGTCAGCAAAATGTTTGACTTTTTTTTTCATTGTTCTTTGATTTTCAGGAGAAATTCACAACTATCCACATTTATGAAGTCTAAACCTTTCAAGCTTAAATATAAGTCAAAGGAAATTGTTCTAGCACCATTAGATCTGAATGAGGTCGCTTTCCTGGTGCAGTTCTCCTCACTTTGGTTCTCATTCTTCTCTCACTCATAACACTTCAGCATCAGTGTAAATGAAAGGAGACTTAGGTTCCTTAATTTTAAAGACTAAGGTCCAGATCTTCACAGGTATTTTGGTGCCTAACTCCCATTAACTTTGGTGGGAATTAGGTATCTAATAATCTCTGAGGATCAGGGCCCGTGGCCCCAATCCTGTAAAGACTTACACATGTATTTAAGTGTGTGAGTAGTCCTGCTGACCTCAATGGGATACACAAATTCATAAAGTTAAGCATGTGCATAGGACTGGGTCCAGTGACAGAAAAGATTAAGGTAAAGCAGTAGGCTACCAATATGATGCACAGGCTCAATGATCTTTGCTATCCAAAAACAAAGATAGAAAGCTGTTTTTCTTTTTCTCTTACAAAGACAGTCTGGATAAACAGGAATCATTCTACAGATGGTGTTTCTTAATGAATGATGCAGAGACATGGGCATGTGACAGGTTCTAATTGCGTGACATGGTGTGACTCCCATTGCTTTTATGCCCTCTGTATACACCCATTCTTCTAATTACAGGAAATGTCTTTAATATAAGCAGCAGTGATACTCAAACCTGCTATAGTCTTGTTTTACAATATTTATATTATTGAGCCTTATGTGACTAATTTCCTTACCAAACCTCCATGTGATCCCACAAAGAAGAAAACTATTGTGAAGGCTGATTGTATATGAACATAGAGATTTTTGGTCTTTAACTCTAAATGTATAGCATTTTGCTTCCTTTGTTTTTA